AGCAGGGCCAGCCCCCCTCAGCTGACGGCAAATGTCCCCAGCCCCCTGCAGCAGCTCCTGCCCCCGCTGCCGGACCTGCTGCAGATGCCGAGGGCAAGCAGGGCCAAGCCAGTCCTGCCGCGGCACATCGTGGCGATGCGCTGTGTATCAGCCCTGTTTAGAAAACCCTGCAATGTCACAGCGAGCACAGACAGCAGGCAGCGGGAGAAATTCGCCTCGCTGATGCCGGCGCTGTTTCTTGCCCGGGGGGAACAGCGTGGTTCAACTGGCACGAGAGGCGTGAGCACAGCCTGACGGCTGCTGACCTCAGAGGCGCCGGGTTTTCGCCACCCGTGGCACCCCGTGTTGCGAAAGCGCGTCACCAGGCCCTACGCCGGACAAGCTCGCTCCTTCCTGTGTTCGCAGAGTGCGGGGAGAGCTAAACAAAACGATTTGTACAGAGATGCAAAAATACCACGGCAGACATCCCTCTCAGGGCAGCCTGCCTTCCTTGTGTCTTTGCTGATTCCTTTCTTGAAATGCTGATAGAAAACAAGCTCTCCTGAAGTTGTCTCTTCCAAGCACCCACAGATACCAGCTAAGAAGAGCAGGTCTGTTGGCAGCGGGGATGGAGGAGCTCACTGTGTCTTTACGGGAAGACTGCGGGCAATCCCAGCACCGAGGTGAATCCCACTGCATCTGTAAGGTCCATCACTTCTAGATATCCAGGTACTATGGTGGCAAGCGTGATGTCAATGTCCAGACACAAGAAAATAACACCCAAACATAACAAAACGGATTGTGTATCACAGCCCATCCATGGGGTGAACCCAGAGCCTAGGGGACATGAGCAGTGAGTAAAAGCCTGTGCCAGAGGGTCCATTTCCAACATGAGTACAGGGTGTGATTTGCTCTTGGCTGAAACTGTGATTGTCGTTTTTAAGCACGAGTTCCTTCCATACCCTTTACTCTCAGATGATATGGATTTCTGGTGTTTGTCTGATTTTGCCCAGTTGTCCAGTTTAGGAGATTTAGATTCCTGTGAGGCCCTTCAGGCAAGGAGGAAGAAAGGAGAACGTAGCCTCTCCTGAGAGGCTGCACCACATTTCTGTGCAGACACATGTCGCTCCGAAGCTCGTGAAAGCTGCTACCTGCACAGTTGAAGGGTCCCTAGACATCATCTAACCGCTATTCAAAAAAGGCCCCTAGACACCACCTACCCGCTCTTCTTCTGCTCCCCAGCCTGACTGGTGGACACTGTGTGTGCTGCTGGCAGCCCAGGGACAACACGTGCACAGGGTCCACGGGACAGGCAGGTGCCTGAGCACCTGGCTGCTCTGCAGCCCCATCCTCTCACAACACTGCAGGTGAATTCTTTATACATAATCAAATAAAGCAGAAGGTTATTAGATTTGAATTAGCATTCACTAACACAATTGATTGTGTGGATTTGGTCATCTAAATGGTCAATGGTAGGACATTTGGATAATTATTGCTGTTTAGTGATATTTCTTCAGCTAATTGCTTTTATTGAATGACTCACTTTGATGATGCAGCTGAAATTAGTGTGCAGCTGATCCACCTCCCAGAGGCTCCATCGTTCCTGTAAGACAATGCATTTGGGTCCCTCTGGATGGTCCTTAGGAAAGGAACTGTGTGGGAACTGCTCCTGCCTCACCCCCATGAGCAAAGACCCCTTTTATGCTGCCCTTCTGCCCTCTCCTCCACAGAGGGGCTCAGCCCCACTCCCCCAGCCCAGGCTGAGCCCCAGCCCCATAGCAGTGCCTGCCTACGTGGAGGGCTCGTGTGGTGGTCAAGCTCTCGGCATCTCCATGCAGACAAGCACAAGGGGAAAGGGGCTGGATACCCGACCCCATAACCCCATCCCACATTTGGAGGGGCACAGGTAAGAAGGCTCTGCCCGCACAGCACCATGCCAAAGTAAAAGCCAGAGAGCTCAGAGCTGATGTTAAAGTTTTCCCGCATGGAGCTGTCTGGAAAAGCCCAAATAAGCAGACCGCTGCTCCACCAGAAAGAGGTCTCCCCGGGCCACCGCTGTGCTCCATGGGACTAGTAGCATCAAAGTAATGTTTGTCAGAGACTTCTAGATGAGGCAGCTGAGGAAAGGTACTAAGCGATACAAGAGTGTGACTAGGTCTCACAGTCATGCTGCACCTGAAACTGGGTGATCCGGCTTCGTTTTAATTCTACCGTGTGTTGCCATTTGAGATCAGGTAAGCCAAACGTATGGAAGGAGTCATGGAGGCCTGCAGGTAGTTCCCAATCCAAAGGGCAGCAGGGAGGACTGCACCCCCAGCCCCGAGAGCAGGGAGCTGCTGCTTAGCCCCACGCGGGCCGGCTCAGCCTTCTCTGCAGTCACGCAGCCTGGGTGACCTTGAGGTGACAGGGACTTGACGCTGCTTGCTAGGAAGGGCGGGAGAGGTCATCTCATGCACACAATCCACAGACGCCCTTTTGCTCTTCATTACTCACTAGCTAATTGCTCATGCGGATCCCAGGCGTCTCACAGAAGTGCAGGACTGCACCGGCACACGGCTTTGCTGAGCAGCCCCAGGAGGCTGCCTTGGGCAGAGCTCAGAGCAGAGCAGTGCCAGCGGGACAGACGGACACAGTGACTGACACCACCGTGACAGGAACAGCAGACAGGTGGGTGAGTGAAGACTCTCCTTAGAAGGGAAGATACGAATATAAGGTGATGGACATAGTGTTGCTGTACATACACAGAGGGTGAGAGACAAGGTAATGGTATCGCCAGCTGAGTCCTGCAAGAGGTCGGGTTCCTGTAGGCTCCTGGGAGATGAGGATACGTTGTCTGCAACGTCTTCTGCCTCCCAGGTCTGTAGGGGCAAAGAACTGCCAGCCTGCAGGGATACAAGAGGTAACTGCGATGGCCATAGCGCGATGCTGGGCTTTGGGAGGCAGGGGATGCAGCCAAGAAATGGGTTTGTGTCCGGGGATGCAGGCAGAAGAAGAATTAAACAGTGTGACTGTCAAACACTTGTTTCAAAGAGGGTCTGATATGGCTTCTCTGCAGTGCTTTGGGGAAAATCACCCCCTCTCATCTCACTTCCCTCACTGTCTTTCCCACAAATGTGTTTCAGAGCCTCCATGAATCTTCCTGTCTCAAGCATAAAACCAACCCCCCAGCCCTAAGTCTGTGTTGCCAGAGGTCAGGGTTTTCCCAAGCAAGTTCTATTTTCTTCCTGCTCAGAAATTTGGTCTGGGAAGAACGCGAGGATGACCTTTTCCCCATTTGTCCAGGGTTCCCAGACGTCTAGGGAAGGCGGGCACCATGTGTCACCAGGGCTATGCTGTGCGCAGGCCCTCCAGACGTCACCATGGCTCGTGTGTAAGACAGGGAGTTCGCAGAAGAACGGAGTTTACTGCCTGTGCACAAACCATCTGTCCAAGAAAGGCAGGAGCTTATCCCAAGGAGATATTTCTGTCTGGGAAACACCACAGCCATGAGTTAGTAAACAACGCCCACGAAATTTGAAGAAATCGGAGCCCTAAAAGGCATACGCTAAGTAGGAAATCATCCCAGGAACGGATGCAGCCTTGGAGAGAGATAAATTTAAACTTTGTCCAGGCTGGAAAATCTGCACGCTGTCTCCATCTGCTCCCTCTTCCTCCTCAGTGTTGCTCCAGAAATGAATCACCAGCCCCGGCACCCTCTGAAAGGTGCACTGTTGCTTCCAGTTCCCCCTTGTTACACACAGCTCCGGTGGCACAGCACCAGCAGGAACGGCCACGCTCCAGCTGCCAGCCTGGCGTGGTGGAAGTGAAGCAGTGCTTGTCCCTCAGCTCCTGCACGCAGTGGTGGCCCTGACCTCGCTGCCAGCCATCACCTGCCCTGGGAGAGGTCATGCGTGGAGTAAGCAGTTGGCTGCATGAAAACAAACGGGAATACGGGTGAGCGAGGGCTGTGCGAGAAAATCAGGATTGTAACCCAGTCTGGAGAACCTGTGTCCTGGGAGTGCACAGCAACGCCCGGAGCATGCAGAGCACAGGATGTTTGGACCTAATATATACTTACAAATGGGGGCCTAATATATACTTACAAATATCTGAAGGGTGGGTGTCAGGAGGATGGGGCCAAGCTCTTTTCAGTGGTGCCCAGCGACAGGACAAGGGGCAATGGGCACAAACTGAAGCACAGGAAGTTCCGTCTGAACATGAGGAAGAACTAATGCCCCTGCTTCGGCAGGAGGGTTGGACTAGATGACTCACAGAGGTCTCTTCCAACCCCTACCATTCTGTGATTCTGTGATTCTGAGTTTAGAAGAATCTGCATCTAACCCTTTCTTTAGCCTCTTTCAGTCCCTAAACTGGAGCTCACCTAACACCCCTATAAATTCTTTGCTATCCCTTGGAGTTCTTCTCCCAGCTGGCTCTCCTGCAGAGAATAACCGAGCCACCCCAGGCGCTGCAGCCCCGGTCTCATCAACAGCCATCTGTGTAGGTAGAGGAAGGATGGGCTAGACCAGGACGTGGCACCAGAAGCACACCCAGCCCTTGATAATGTTGCGTGCAATCCCTGCTGTCACGGCCAACACTCCAGCTCCGAGCACAGCCCACAACTATTCTGGAAAAAAATGAAGTTAAAGCCCTAGGAAATTCCCGGGCAGAGTCCCGGAGCACCCTGACGGGTATTTGCAGGGAGACACTTGAAGTCAAGCCCCCCCTTAACACCCATTGTCAGCCTCAGGCAATTTGTGGGCCGCAGATAGGGGTTACCCCTCCCAGAACCATGCGGTCTGCTGGGCTTGAGGGCTCCAAAGGACATTCACCAGGAGAAGGTGCAGAGAGCAGAGGGTCTGCCTTCCTCCAAAGAGGGTGTGCACAGGGGGAACAGACCTCGAAACAGTCCCTCAGCTGGCAGTCCCAGGGCTTTTTCAGGAAGCACCCAGCCCAAAGTTCATGTTCTGTTGGGTTTTTTTTTCTTTTCTTCTCAGGGTTGTGCTCTTAGTATTGTCTAGTATTTCCTGCTTCCTCCCCCGGCAGCTCCCCTGCTATCGCAGACACACAGCTACAGCACTCTGTGCATTAGCCCCTGCGTTTGCCACATCCGTCCCCAGGGAAATCCCTGGGCCCGCACGCTGTTCAGCTTCTAATTACGGCATGCTGTGCCCCTGTCTGCTGCAGCAGGCTCCCACTGCTCACCGAGGAGCAGCGCACTGCCGGTTTATGTTTAGCCAGGATGATTTGCACCCACCAGCTTTCGGCACGAGGGTTGCCCAGGAGCACGAGGAGGCTCAGAGCAAAACTGTGTGCTGAGACGGGCGCCTCGCACTGCCTGTGCACAGCCTCCTGCTTGGACAGCCCAGTGTAACGCAGTTCAGGTCTTTAGTTTGTCCAAATATCATCTGGTAACATGGGGAAATTTGCATCCAGATCCAGGTTCGAACTTCTGGATCCATAACCCAGGAAAGCAGCTCCCTCCTCAGCACGGCCCCGCTGGCTGCTCTGCTCACCCTCTGCCTGGCAGAGCTCTCTCCACCCTGAATTCTCACCCGGTGAGTCTTCTGCACAGTCCCACCATGACACTCTCTCCACCTTTGCAAGATCCCTGCTTGCTGGGAAGAACTAGAGACCGTAACACTACCAAATGTCACAGCTGCCTGCAGGGGGAAAGTCCCTTTTTAATTATTAGCGTGCTCCCAGTTTGTATTTTCCCTGTCAGGTGCTTCCACGCTGTCTGCAACCACAGAGGGGGCTGTACTGATGGGGAGCAACGTTACTGATGTTGCTGAAGGGAAAGTTGTACAACAAGCTCAGGAGACTTGCCTCTGCTTCTCTTCTCTTCCCCCGGCCCAAGTCTCTTCTTTCCTACATGAAACACATGCGGCAGCAAGCTTCGTCACATCAGGCAGCCAGCATCAGCATAAAGCTTTGCAAGCAACGTGCTTTGACAAAACTTGCACATGAGAAATGGGAATGACACTGGAGGAGACTTGTCTTCCAAGTGGTAGCCAATTTCAAATGACTTGACCTATATTTACCCTTACGGCATAACAATAAGAGCAGTTTAAATTCATACCGTACATCTCATCCCTAAGGATCCCCAGAAATGCAACCAACTGATATATAAACAGCCAACAGTTCACACAGAGAAATGCAGATCTGCCCGGGGACGCAATACATCAGTTTAAGAGATGCCAAAAATAAGCTGCAGTCTAAAAATAAAACCACAGACCAGTGTAGGCAGCCAGAAATCTAGGTCCATTAGACTCTGGCCAGGACACCCTAGTTAACTCCTTTTCTGTATCTGTGGGACATGGCTAGGATTTTAAATGCCCTGATTTGGACTTTGGCTTTACGTGCCAAAAATTACCACCCGCACTGTTTGCTTGGATATTATATCAGCTCCAATAAGGTGGAAAAATGCTTCCCACTTCATCCACCACACTGCTTTTTGGAGTATCTGACTGTGCCATGATAGCCTTCAATGAAAAAGTTTGAGAAGGTAGGGATGCAAGCCACATGGCACATGTAACACCATCAGCCTTCACCCCAGCTGACAAAAATGCACTTTGCTTAGCTTTCCTGCTTCTCATTTGGCCATTTTTTTTAAAGCCTTCAAATTAGTAACGGTCATATTATTATTAAAAAGCAGGAGGGAAATATGTTTTCCTTGTTTACCACTGGACTAATTATTTGGAGCTGCCTGGTTCTTCTCTCTACAGCAGCTGTAAATGGGAGCCCAAGACAATGCTGATTTTAATTGGAAAATATTATCGGAACGACAATGTTAAGTGTTGCCTGGCTTCCATTGCACTCGCAAAGTCCTCAGTCTTGCAGAACAATACACCGGAGTCCTGTTCCAAAGGGGCATCTGTGCTTCTGTGTACACACGCCGACAGCAGCTTCACTTCACTGATTTGCTTTGCTTTTGGTTTTAAGAGCCTGAGCCAAGATCCTGCTGGATGTTGTGAACCACCCTTCCTGGTACGTTTACCGCGAGCCACGCGTAGTCCTCGGGATTAAACAGGAGGAAACAGTTAACAGGTATCTGCAGCAGCAATCACAAAAGGATGAAGTTGAGGGACCAGCTCTGGTAAATCACCAGCACCACAGCGACAGCACTAGGCAGTTCTGATGATTAGTGTGGCAATCAGGAAATTACAGTTTAATGTGTTTGCTGGAGGAAGCAGCACGAGAATCTTTCATGTACTTTAAAAACTGATTAAAACCCTACTGCCCCTTTTCAGTATTCAGGCACGCAAGGCTGCTTCTTGGAGCCCTGCCAGCTGCTTTCTGCAAGGCGGACTAAAACCCAGCACCTCGTCCCGGCAGCCCCACAGCCCTGCCAGCTGAGTGCTTGGGGCACCCAGAGTGGAGGAGGCTTTCGCAAAATCGAGCCTTTAGGCATCAGGTGTGAAACCACCTCTTGTGGTTACAGCCTTTTACATTGTTAAAGTGACTTTTAGGTAGTCCCTTGGCCTTGAAGTGCCCAGCGGGCCAGGCAGTGGAGACTGCTAACAATAATCCCAAACAAAAAAAATGCAGACAACGTTAATCACCTCTCAAGCCGATGAGCATAAAAAACGCTCCTGTGAAATTAATACAGACATAGCAGAGCTATCAAACCAGAGCACACAAGAGGACAAAGAGGGTTCAGTTCGGCACAGACGACCGCAGCGTTCATAAAGTTTCGCTCCTGTTTCAGCAGGGCTAGCCCCTGTCCCTGGATAGGTACAGCTGCTCCGCCCCCCAGGGGCACGTCCCAGCCTCCCAGAACTGCAACTCCCCAGGCAAGAGGCCAGTAGAAAATCAGGCTTGTGATAGGCTCCACTCTATATCCAAAACCCGTATATCCAAAAGCTGAGCTTGTTTCTCTCCATTCTTTTTCCCTTGTGCACCACGTAGAAAATTGCATAGAAGAACTGCTCGAACGTGTTAATTTTCAGAAAAAGGACAGTACCGCAGCAACACAGAGGCAGCATCAACGACCTTCACCACCGCCTCAAAACCTTTGTTTTGTACTGCCTCCTATATGCTGTCTCTTTAGACAAATATTGTACAACGACCTTGTGAGCTGCGAGGAGTTACAAAGACAGCAGCTTTGTTTGTTTCAATGCTGACGAGGGTTCCGCTTGCCCCTGCATCTTCGCTGCAACCTGTCCCTGCTACTGTACACGTAGGTCAGGGTTTAGGGCAGAGTCCCTTCTTGATCCACGCTTTCGGCTGCCTAACACCTGGGGGTGCCGGCCCACCTCTGGGCCCACCCGACAGCCCCGGGCCGGCTGCTCCTTTCCGCCACCTACAACTGGCTGCAGTACTGCCGAGTTAAAACGCATGCAAAATAAAAGCACCTCACGTGCCTCCGAAAAGAGGGCTTTGATGGCAAATGCTCGCTAAAAATAGCCCCGCGTTTGCCTGTGACAGAGCTGGAGGTCACTTCTAGCAGGAGGCAAAGAACTCACTTTGCTGAACTCGGTTCCCAGACATCGCAGCGACGACGGGAAGTTTTAAAGAGTTTTAAAGTTTAATTTCCGCGTGGTTCTAGCAAAACCCCAACCAGAGGCAGCGCGGTGCTGGCTGGGCTCAATTCCCCTGCCAGTCAGAGCAGGAGAGCTCGCTTTCCCACTCCCATCCTCCCTCCTTTGCAGGGAAGCAGGTAGGAGGAGATTCATTTGTTAATTAAATTTCCCCTGCCAATTTACATTAAAAAGGGGAAACTTCTTTCAAGAAGCTGGCAAAACTTTCACAACCCTTAACCTATAAAAGAAAGAGTTGTCCGGCTTTTTTCTAAACCTGCCCAAAACCACCAGCGGGTTGTCCCAGGCCAAGTGATGAATAATGAAAAAAAGTCCAGGAATGGCGCAGCTGGGCTGAAAATCAGGAACATCTGCTCACCGAAAGGCAGGCGTTCGCCCTCTCCTCTGGCTCCCCCTTTCATCTTCGTATTTTCTCACAAGTTCTTGTTCAAAGGGATGCCATCCCATGGGAAAAGGACAAAAGGAAAGAGGCGCAGACACTGTTACTCAGCGAGGCCAGCAACAGTTGCAAGAGCAGAAAAATTCTTCACGGGAATCCCCCACATCTGAGAAGTAGAAGCAAAAATTCACCAGGGAAAAATTCAGTGCTGTCAGCAGACAATGCCTTTTATCCATGTGGGAGCCTGCGTATGTGGGTTTTCATTACCCACAGATGGCACAACCGCAGTAAAGAGGAGCAGCGAAGAATTATTAGGAATGGCCAGAGAAAGTAAGAATAACGGCAGAAGATGTAATTTCTTCTTTAAAAGGTTTGTCCTGTTATGTGTATCTACTTTGTGAAAGAGGCCTGCTTCGTCCTGGAACAGAACTGTGCGTACAGGAGTGGCGCAGAATTCTCCTGTTCTTTGCTGATCCCTCTTCACTGGAACAGAGCGAAAACTTCCACAGCAGAGATACAAAATCCTCTACACGCTGAGGCAGGACACACACACGCCTGCAGTAATGTGCAACACTACCTGACTCTCTCCAAAAAGCGGTACCTCCCCCGCGCAACAGCAAGGCAGACGTAGAGCGTGCTGATGCAGCCGCAGCACCGCTCTGCATGGCGCTTGGTTCCCTGAACTTCCCGCATGACCTTGCTGTCCTGGGCTGGCTACGTGGCCTGCTCCTGCTCGTCAGATGAGCGCTGTTTAATGACTGCTAAGGGAGTCCCCTAGAAACGACGGTCCTTGCAGGGTCAGGGATCTGCCATTCTGCAGATGAGGGCCATGGAGGAGCAGAAGAATTGAGGAGAAACGTCGTGCTACACACTGCACCTCACAGGTGGTGGATATTCTCCAAGTGTGGTCACCAGCACGCTTACTGGCTGGCCTTCTGGCCTGAGACATCCCAAAGCCCCTCTTATCACAGAATGTTCAGGGTTGGAAGAGACCTCTGTGGGTCATCTAGTCCAACACCCCTGCCAAAGCAGGGTCACCTACAGCAGGCTGCACAGGACCTTGTCCAGGCGGGTCTTGAGTATCTCCAGAGAAGGAGACTCCACAACCTCCCT